TATCATGTTTTTAATGCACAACCAATTGCACCCCCTTCTTATCCACAATGGCGTGCACCAACTCCACAACATCATCCACCACCCCCACAAGTTCATCAAAATACTGCTAGAATTCCTTTCCGTCCTAGACCAAAATACAAGAAGGGAAATGGCGTTAAAGATGAGTTTACTCCTATTGGGGAGTTCTATGATAGCTTGTTCGAAAAATTAAGCTTGTTGAATGTTTTGAGTCCTATTGGGAGAAAGATGTTGAATCCTCCCCCAAGAAATTTGGATTATTCATAACATTGCACATATTGTTCTAATGCCCCAGGGCACAACATAGAGAGATATTGGTATTTGAAAAGGGCCATTCAGGATTTGATCGATTCTAATCGAATTATACTTGAAAGTCCGAATGGACCCAACATCAATCAAAATGCATTGCCGAGGCATAATGAAACAAACATGCTAGAAATGATTAAGGTTCATGAAGAGTTTCCATCTCTGTATAAGCCAATCCTTAAGGTTGGAACTAGCATTGAGAAGTCGGCAAATGTTGTTGATTTGACAAAAATGATGCCCTTAGGGGCGGAAAGTAGGTTAGAAAAGTTGAGTCCATCAAACACACCACTCTTAACTATGAAAGGAGCCCTTGAAGATGTTTGGGAAATTCCGAGTAAGGCAAAATCATTTGACCCAAAAAGTCCAAACCAACCTATCTTGATCGTGCAAGGGGCCCATATTCCTCCTGTGATTATCAGGCCAGTATCCCAGCTCCCAATGACTAATCCCAAAGTTGTTCCTTGGAATTATGAGACTACTGTCATGACATACAAGGGCAAAGAAATTAATGAAGAAATAGATGAAGTAGGAGGAATAACCCGTTCAGGAAGATGTTATATCCCGAGGGAATTAAGGAAAACTAAAAATGACCAAATACAAAAAATGAGTCCAGTCACTGAAGGAGGGGCAGAGGAATTCCTAAGGAAGATGAAACTATCAGACTACTCCGTGGTGAAACAATAAAGAAAAACTCCAGCCCAAATTTCTTTGTTGTCTTTGCTGATACATTCTGATGAACATCGTAAGACAGTAATGAAAATTTTGAATGAAGCACATGTTCCTAGTAAAGTTACAGTGAGTCAGTTAGAGAAGATTGCTGGGAGAATATTTGAGGTAAATAGCGTCACCTTTTCAGATGATGAACTAGCCAAAGAAGGTAAAGGACATAACCAAGGCCTACATATCACTGTAAAGTGTTAGCTTTCATATGTCACTCGAGTTCTACTTGATGGAGGATCTAGAGCAAATATTTGTCCTTTATCAACTCTACAAAAATTAAATGTTAGTGCTGAAAGGGTCCGACCCAACAATGTATGTGTTAGACCTTTTGATGGGTAAAAAACAGATGTCATTGGTGAGATAGAGCTTGTACTGACCATAGGGCTTGTAGATTTCGGTGTGAATTTTCAAGTGTTGGATATAAATGCGTCCTACAATCTATTGTTGGGAGGCCATGGGTGCATAGGGCTAGAGCAATCCTTTCAACGTTGCATCAAATGATTAAGTTTGAATACGACCGACAAGAAGTGATTGTTCATGGTGAGGGGGATTTGTCGATCTACAAAGACTCTTTCTTCCCTTTTATCAAGGCGAATAATGAGAATGAGACATTGGTTTATCAAACTTTTGAGGTAGTGGTTATTGAGCATGTCCCCAAGGGGAGTGTCATTTCAAAACCAAAGATGTCCATCACGTTTGTAATGGTGGTGAATGAATTGCTGAAACATGGGTTTGAGCCGGGTAAAGGCTTATGAATCTGCTTGCAAGGGAGAGCTTATCCAGTGAGTCTATGAAAGAGCATCAGTACTTTTGGCTTAGGCTAACAACTTAGAGTCGAGGACAAAATGAATGTAAAGAAGCAGAAGAGAGATGTATGGTCACTTACCAAGCCTATACAACCAATCTACGAACATTTCATAAAAGCCCGCACAACAGAATCTTATCAATCATCTTTTCCAGAGCCAGTGACGAAAGTAAGCGAAGAAAGGATCAACTATTTTCAAGATTTATTTGTCGAGGTTGATATGGTGGAACTCGGAGAAGTCACTAGCGACAAAGATGTGCAATTCATTGGTTCTGATGTCAAGACAAACAATTGGGAGGCCACCCCTCTCCCCGTTAAAGAAGAGTCTTGGTAGTCTGTCTTGTTTTTTATTTTGTTATCCAATTCATTCAAGGATTGTAATTTGGATTTTATCTCGTCGTTTTATTTCGAACTCTCTATTTCCCTTTTCTATAGGATGTAATTGCATCTTTATTTCAGTCTAATATATTTGTTCGTTTTCTTTTATAAAATTCTTTCTATGCCGATTCTAGTGATATGACATGCATGCAGAATTTTTTGCCAGATCTTAAAATACAATCTAATCTTCGACCTAATATTGAAATAATAAGTTCAGAAATTGAATATGATGAAGACAGAGTATTTGAAGAAGTAAGGAGGGATTTCAATCATTTTGAAAATAAGTCAAATCCAAACATGAGTGAAATTTAGACGATAAATTTGGGGGATCAGGAAATTATTAAGGAGACTAAGATAAGTGTACATGTTCGACATCAAAAAGACGATATAATCCATGCCCTGTTTTATTACAAAGATGTTTTTGCGTCATCTTATGATGACATGCCTGGATTAAGCACTGACATGGTTGTTTACAAGTTGCCAATTGATCCTAATTTTCCTCCGATAAAGCAGAAGTTGAGAAAACTCAAAACCGACATGAGTTTAGTAATTAAAGAGGAGATCACAAAACAACTTGAGGCCAAAGTAATTCTAGTCGCTCAATATCCTTCTTGGTTAGCCAATATCGTACCCGTCCCTAAGAAAGACGACAAAGTTCAAATGTGTGTTGATTATCATGATTTGATTAAGGAAAGGCCAAAAGATGATTTTCCTTTGCCTAATATCCATATTTTATTGGATAATTGTTCTAAACATGAGGTTGCATCTTTTGTGGATTGTTAATGCGGGCTACTATCAGATTATTATGGATGATGAAGATGCAGAAAAACATCTTTTATCACTCCATGGGGTACATATTATTATCGTGTTATGCCTTTTGGATTAAAAAATGCAGGGGTAAATTATATGAGAGCAATGACAACCATGTTTCACGATATGATGCATAGAGAAATCGAAGTTTATGTGGATGATGTTATCATTAAATCTAAAAAATAGTCAAATCATATGAAAGACTTAAGGAGATTCATGTGAAAGGCTCTGCAGGTATGATCTCAAGCTTAATCCTACAAAATGTGTGTTTGGAGTACCATTGGGGAAGCTTTTGGGGTTTATAGTCAGTCGAAGAGGTATCGAGTTGGATCCTTCAAAAATAAAAGTAATTCAAGAATTTTCACCTCCAAGGAACAAAACTGAGGTTATGAGCCTTCTAGGAAGGTTAAACTACATCTGCAGATTCGTTGCTCAACTCACAACAACTGGTGAGCCTATCTTTAAGTTGTTGAAAAAGAATGCCACAGTCGAGTGGACCGAAGAATGTCGAGAAGCTTTTGAAAGAATTAAGAACTACCTATCAAATCCCCCTGTGTTGGTTCCTCCCGATCCGGGAAGACCTTTGATATTGTATATGTCAGTACTGGATAATTCTTTTGGTTGTGTACTGGGTCAACATGATGACACTCAGAAGAAAGAGCGGGCCATTTATTACATCAGCAAGAAGTTTACCGTTTACGAAGCAAAGTACACCCTTCTTGAAAGAACATTTTGTGCCCTAACTTGGGTAGCACAGAAGTTTAAACATTATCTTTCATCTTACACTACTTATCTCATTTCTCGTTTGGATCCATTGAAATATATTTTTCAAAAGCCCATGCCTACAGGCAGGCTTGCGAAATGGCAAATATTGCTCACAGAGTTTGACATTACCTATATAACGCGGACCGCAATGAAAGCTCAAGCATTGATAAATCATTTGGCTGCAAACCCTATTGATGAAGAATATGAACCACTTAAAACCTATTTTCCAGATGAAGAGATATATTGTATCGATGAATTTATTCACGATAACAATCAAGGTTGGAAGTTATTCTTTGATGGTGCCTCTAACAGGAAATGAGTTGGAATAGGAGCTGTTCTTATGTCTGAATCAGGGGAATATTACCCTATATCAGCCCAACTTAGATTCTATTGTACTAATAATCTGTCTGAGTATGAAGCATGCATTTTGTGCCTGAGGTTGACTGTTAACATGGGCATCCAAGAATTATTAGTGCTAGGAAACTCAGACTTACTAGTTCATCAAATTCAAGGAGAATGGGAAACTCGAGACCCAAAGCTCATACCATATCAACATTGTTTACAAGGTCTTTGTCAAAAATTCATATCGATAAAGTTTAGACACATTTCCAGAGTTTACAATGAGATTGCAGATGCATTGGACACTTTATCTTCGATGCTCCAACACCCTGATGACACTTATATCGACCCTTTATACATACAAATTCGTGATCAACATGCTTATTGCAACATGATTGAGGAGGAATTTGATGGTAAGCCTTGGTTTCATGATATCAAAACATATCTTCAGTCTGGAGAATGTCCGTCGGATGTAACGAGTAATCAAAAAAGGACTATTCGACGACTAGCAAGGGGTTTTTTTTAAGCGGAGGCATACTGTACAAGAAGACACCCAATTTAAGTCTTCTAAGGTGTGTAAATTCTCAAGAGGCTTCCACAATCATGACTGAAGTACACTCAGGAGTTTGTGGACCTCATATAAATGGATATGTTCTAGCCAAGAACATACTTCGAGCAGGATGTTATTGGCTCACCATGGAGCGGGATTCCATATGATTTGTTCGTAAATGTCATGAATGTCAAATACATGGTGATTTGATATATTGTCCCCCTTCTGAGTTGCATGCAATGTCTGCTCCATGGTCTTTCATGGCATAGGGAATGGATGTGATTGGACCGATAGAATCAAAAGCATCGAATGGTCACAGGTTTATCTTGGTGGCTATTGATTATTTACAAAGTGGGTGGAAGCAGTAACTTTCAAGTCAGTGACCAAGAAGGTCGTGGTGGATTTCATCCATTTCAACATCATCTGTGTCGGTTTGGTATTCCAAAGGTGATTATAACTGATAACGCCGCAAATGTCAATAGCCACTTAATGCAAGAGGTATGCTACCAATTTAAGATTGAGCATCGAAATTCGACTCCGTATCGCTCAAAGGCAAACAGGACTGTAGAAGCTGCTAACAAAAATATAAAAAAGATACTTCGTAAGATGGTGCAAAGTTCTCGACAATGACAAGAAAAGTTGCCTTTTGCTTTGTTGGGTTATCGCACTACGGTCCGTACGTTAGTGGGCGCTACCCTATTTTCACTGGTATACGGGACTGAGGCAGTTATACCTACAAAAATTGAGATCCCATCTTTAGGAATTGTTGTGGAGGCAGAAATTGATGGTGATGAGTGGACCAAAGCAGAGTTAGAGCAATTAAGTTTGATTGATGAGAAGCGTCTGCCATCAATATGTCATGGACAATTATATCATAAAAGAATGGCACGGGCATACAACAAAAAGGTGCGTCCCACACATTTTGAAGAGGGTCAATTAGTGTTGAGACACATTTTGCCACATCATGCCAAAATCAAAGGCAAATTTTCTCCAAATTGGAGAGGACCATTCGCTGTTAAAAGGGTATTACCCAATGGTGCTCTTTACTTAGCAGATATAGAAAGCAAAGTGACAGAAACGATCGTCAATGCTGATGTTGTGAAAAGATATTACATATGATTTGAGTTTCGATATTAGAAACCCTTATGTTTGGGCTCGACATTTCAAGGGTTGATTCAATGGAATCTCTAGGTTATGCTGTTTCCTTGAGTTTTACAAAAAAACACAAATTGCCTGAACTACGTTCGACCTGATTCTTGTATCAGCAAGATACGTAGGCATCCCTAATGTTGGGTTCGGTTCAACCAAATACAAATCCAAAAATTTATATTGTAGTACACTGGGGCAAAAGTCGTTTGTTTATTCACTTGGTTTCTCATCTCAAAGCTCAAAATCAACCACATCATCTAAAGTAAAAAAAAAGTCTTTGCATCAACCCTTGATATGTCGAGAGTAAGTTGGTTAAGGGTAGGAAAAAATCCTGAATGGGCACCATAAGACAAAAATGAGTAGAAAGAAATAAGAATGAGAGAGGCTTATTGGTAAAAATCCTAAGTGGGCACCGTAAGGCGAAAAAGAGTTGAATATAAGAGAGTCTTATTGGTGAAAATTCTGACATGCACCATAAGGCGGACGTGAGCTGGAGCAATTAACATGATAGAGTTTTAGCGGAAAAGACCTTCGTGAATATCACAAAGTGTATAAGGGTTTAAAATTATTTATAGATTCATTAAGTGTCAGGATTTCACATCAAGATTGAATGATCAATAATGGTTGATGAATAGATTGGATAGCCAAGTCTGGAAATCAATTAAAATTACATGGCATGATCAGTAGACTCGGCTCCCACACTCAGATAAGTGTTTCTTTCTTCTTCTTATTAAAAAAAAGAGTCTTCATCGAAAAAAGAGTCAACCACCTTTTTAAACTCACGAATTTTCTTTGTTGAAGCAGGGACACAAGTCATTTCAAGATTGAATATTCGAGGAACCTAGATATCCAATCTAGTCTACAGCGAGCGAAATGGAAACCCTACAATGAAGACTTGTGAAATATTAAATGAAAGTTGGCTAATATATTTCAAAACAACAATTACTTGAATGTTGGAATATTTTATTTATTTATTTATTGTTATTATTATTATTATTATTATTATTATTATTATTATTATTATTATTATTATTATTATTATTTTTCTCCTTGAAGGAACTGCCAAATAATGAAGATAGCATTCACAATGTTTCGTTGGTATTATTAGTTTGTTGAAAATTTTAGTAGTAGGACCCTCATGGATAATGGGATTAACAGGACCCTCTTGGATAATGAGACTAGCACAACCCTCCTGATAATGGGATTAGCAGGACCCTCCTAGATAATGATACTAACAGGATCCTCCTGGATAATGGGATTAGCAGGACCCTCCTGGATAATGAGATTAGCATGACCCTCCTGGATAATGGGAGTAGCAGGACCCTCCTGGATAATGGGACTAGCAGACCCTCCTAGATAATGGGACTAGCAGCACCCTCCTTGATATTGGGATTAGCAGGACCCCCCTGGATAATGGGATTAACAGGAACCTCCTTGATAATGGGACTAGCAGGAACCTTTTGGATAATGGGACGAGAAGGACCCTTCACATAATGGACTAGCACAACCCTCTTGGATAATGGGACTAGCAGGACCCTCCTGAATAATGGGACCAGCAGACCCTCCTAGATAATGGGACTAGTAGGATCCTCCTTGATAATAGGATTAGCAGGACCCTCCTGGATAATGGGATTAGTAGGACCATCCTCGATAATGGGATTAGCAGGAGCCTCCTGGATAATGGGACTAGAAGGACACTCTTCATAATGGATTAGCAGGACCCTCCTGGTAATGGGACTAGCAGGACCCTTATCGATAATGGGACTAGCAGGACCTTTGTCGATAATGAGACTAATAGGACTCTCCTAGATAATAGGATTAACAGGACCCTCCTGGATAATGGGACTAGCAGGACCCTCTTGATTAATGGGATTAGATTACTTTATCATAGGATAAACACTTCCTAGTCTAGATTTTTAGTTTTATTTTCTCCTAAAATAAACACTTCCTAGTCAGAGTTTATGTTTTATATTTATATTTGCTAATAACTCACAAAATTTTTCCAGTGAAGACTGGGGCAAAAATTTATTTTTTGTTGGTGGTGGTTTTTCAGGTTTCCTCAATCGAGACATGGATTTGAAATTGAAGAAAAAAGTTTCAATTTTTTTTAGAATAATCAATTCCATGATGGTTATAATTAGCTTCCTCTATGCATGTAGCAGCCTGACTTCCTCACGTCTTTTACTAGTCAACTTTTGATAAAGAAAACACGCAGCTATTCCAGAGCACTTTTCAAATTGTCATTTTTGAAGAATGTCAAAAGCTCCGCCTAAGTGGCAAGTTGAGCCTCCATTCCAGTTCTAGGTTAAGATATTCACCAAAAAATCAAGGTGATATCTTAAAGTCAAAATTCAAGTAAAGATTCAAGAAAAGCTGCATGGATAGAAGTTTGTACATTTGTTTTTCTTTTCACTATTAGCTTTCAATTTTATATTTTTTAAGTGTCGCGATCTAGAGCCTCAATGGAACCTCACTTAACTCCAACTCATCACCTCATCTCCTTGAACTACACGTGACCTGATTCCCTTATAACCTTGGATATGTAGGATGTCCAAAACAAGGACTCAGTCACATAAATTATGGTCTTTCAAATAAGAGTTTGGTCAAAACTTGTCACTTTGTCTACTTATTTGTCAGAAAACTCTTTGGTTGTTTCTAGTCAAAGAGGGGCAAACTGTAGATACGTAATTTTGACCGAATTTAAGTTTTATACCCTTTTTAGAGCTTAAATATTTTTTAAATATAAAGTAGATATTTTATTTAATAATTTTATTTTAAAGGATTTGAAAACAACAAAAATAGAGTTACCCTTTAAGTTACATTTTTTGTTTAATTTATTCAAAATTTAGCAAATAAATTATTGATTTTAATATTTTCTTCATTATATTTTTGATTTAGATATTTCATATTTTTTTATTATCAATGCCGAAATAACTAGTAATTATTATTATTATTATTATTATTATTATTATTTATTAACAATAAAAATTAATAATACTAACCTACCCATTACCACACTTAATCACTATTCACCACCACATTCCCACATACCATTACACTACCACCACCTACCATGAACAACTATAAAAAAACTAACCAAGAAGCCCCTATATTATTATATAAAAATAACATAACAAAAAAAAAGAAAATGGAAAAGGAGAGGAACGAGAATCAGAAAGGATAAAGGGAGAAGAGGAAAAGAGCAAGGAAAAAAAAGAGAAAATAAAAGGAAGAAAAGAGAAGAGCAAAAAAAAAAAAAAAACAAAAAGGGAAAGAAAAAAAAAGAAGAAACAACAAAGAAAACTTTTCATTTTTTCCCCGAAGAACACACACACAAAGAAAAATACAACTAAAAATAGTGGATTTTGAGGTTTCAAGTTCGTGGCTCCTAAATTCTTTCTTTTCGTGAAATAATTTCCACAAGAGGTAATACTTATTTTTATTTTGTATTGATTTTATGTCATGATAATGCGAGAATGGATTGCAATATATTGAAGTTGTTAAATTTCGCATGTGTTTAAACCATTAATATTTATTGATGTTATTATTTGAAGTATGTTCAAATGTTCATATCTACTTTATGTTTAGATCCTTTGTATAGTTATATTTAGTGTGAAATTATTATAACAAACCGTGATTTATTTTATATTTAAAAAACCCATAGTTTATTTTATAAGTAAAATTATTTTCCAAGTCATTTTAATTTTTAATATTTAGTTTATAATGATAACATGTGTATCTATTATGTAAATATATTAATTTTAGTTAGTAGGATTTTTGTTTAATGTTAGTGACGTAAAAAAATCGAATAAAAATGGAAGAAGAAAAAAAATATAATAATAATAATAAAAAGAAAAAGGAAAAATTAAAAAATAAATTGTGAGAAAGAATATAATAAAAAAAAGGGGAAAAGAGAAAACAGAAAAAAAGATAATAGAAAAAGAAGTATAAAACTAATATTAAAAAAACATGCAATTGAGGAGGAAAGATTTTTTTTGAAAGTTTCTTTGTCCAAACTTAAAAAAATTAAGCTGAATAATAATTAAAAAAAGCAAATAAAACCTTGAAAGTATAACAAATAAAAATAAAAATAATAAAATAATAATTATAGTAAAAGATCAGAAGGTAAAAAGAGAAAAAAAAGAAACGTAAAAAATAGAATAAAAATAAAAATAATAATAATAACAAAAGAAAAAGTACAACAAAGAATATCTTATTTTATTCTGCTTTGTTTGATTTAATTTATATGCGTAAATATATTTTTAATTAAAGGGCATAGATTAATAAAATAAGGTAGTTTTAATATATTTAAATAAATTAAAGAATGAAGGTAAATACATTTGTTTTAACAATTAAATATTCAAAAAAGTAGTTTAAGTCATAAAAGTCCATAAAGTGACCGTGCTAGAACCACGAGACTCGAGGGATGCCTAATACTTTCCCATCGGTCAGTAGAATTCCTTACCCGAACTGGTTCGCAGATCAAACAAAGAGTCATTTCCTTTTGATTAGGGATTAAACAAAAAAGGTGACTTGGAACACCGTAACTCAATTCCAAGTGACGACTCTGAAAAATTAAAATAATCTCCTAATTAATAACGTCATTTAAATTGGAAAAACCCTTACGCCGCTGCGCAAAAAAGGAATGTTACAAAGGTGGGTAGCGTTCCTATGAATAACTACTAAGGCAATTTATACCATGTTTTGAACTGGTAGACCTAATGTTGGTAGCCCTTAATCATAAGTCTAGAAGCCTAAGTGAACGAATAACCTTGAAGCGGTAGATCTGATGGTGGTGGACTCCTTCTTGTGTGAAATTATTTACCTAGGAGCGCTAGACCTAATGGTGGTATCACTTTCTAAGGAAGATCAAATGAGCTATCCCTTATACCTTTAAGTGGTAGACATAATGGTTGTGGAGTCCTTCATGTGTATGTGTCTTTGGTCGGTAGACCTAATGTTGGTGGCCT